GCCTTTGCCATCTATTGTTGAAACAAAGGTTGCTGTCTGTGTGGGAACTGCTCCCCTAAGAACAAGGGCTGTTACACTATGAACTTCTCACCATGAAAACTTATGAACATGCATTTTAAACTTTCTTGGTCTGGACTTAAATGAAGGACAAAAGTAGGGATTTCTTTCCAATCAGGGATAGAGGAGGCTTGTGAGCTTTCACTGAAAGAATTGGGTTGCTTTCCAATTGTGATAAAGGTATTTTCCCACCACTCTTTTGCCTGAGCACCTTCCCCTACCCCTCTAGAAATAAGGACTATTTTCTTCTACACTGTCTTCTATTTAAAAGTCTAGAAGTTTCAGAGACCTCTATTAGATTTTATTATGGAGGAAAGAAGTTGTCATCTTCTGCCTGCCTGATGGTGAAACAGGTACAGTAGCCAGGGAGAGAGGCTTAGCTTCATGCCTGGGTCGTATTCTAACAGTATGATCTTCCCTTTAAGCCTGCAAGTTTTCTTATACCTTGTATTATCCATTAGGAAGGGGGACGTCTACAGTGGCGCTGACCAGACTGTTCTTGGGACTATAAAATAAGACGCTCCTTGCGTTAGGGATTAGACCAGAAGGAGTGAAGGGGTGATGGGGAAGAAGAAGAAAACTCCCTGGACAAACCACCCATGTACAGCTCTCTGGGTTTCCTTCTCATTTCTCGTACTGCTGTGACTGCGGTCGTACCCGTCCCCCTGCTGACAGACAGAGATGCTATGAGCGGGAGATCAAGGGAGGGTAGGTGTAACGTGTGTAACCGCTCTGAGTGTGTGTGTCTGGGCGTAGGTGTTTCAAAGGCTTGTTTCGCTGGGCGTGATAGAGATGACTAAGAGAGTGAGCTCAAGTCAAGTGCTCTCAAACAAGTTCAGCAAACAAAACGGGATTATCTAACTGGGCTGGTATGTGATGACTTGAAAGCAGTAATTACCTCCCAGGAAACAGGTATGTGGGGAAATGTCCTTATCGTTTTCCATCCTCTTCTGTGTCATCTTAGACAGCAGGCCTAGCGATAGCATTTGAACTCTTAAATGGGAGCACTAACATACTGCGGCCCAAATGATTTATCTATGAAGAGTAATATTAAAGAAAGCAGAATGAGGGGGCTAAAAATAGGTTAGGCAATGAAAACTCATTAATCTGAACCTCAGCGTTTGTGTGACTCTAATGTATTTTAAAGATAATAAAAATTCCCATGCAACTACGTCGGACAAAGGTAAAATAGATTTAGTGTCAGATAAATCTGGCATATTTCCCTGTCTTCGGTAAGCTCGCTTTGTTTTTGTGGAAAGGAACTGTGTTTCTCCATAGAATACGTAGGTGGTCTTTTGGGCGTTGGGTAAAGCATTCGCTGAGGTACCACACACAAAGTTAGGACTTGGTAGAGGAAGAGAGCGCCTGTATGAGGAGCTGTCAGAAAGGGAGAATCAAGGTGGTGAGCTGCGAGGCAGGGGAAGGTTAGTAATGTAGTTTGCCAGTGGAATTTACAGGTTATGGACGCTTTGGGTGTGTTAATGAGGCACAGAGTAGCAAGTACAGAGATCTCAATATTTGGAAGTACCTGAAATGATTTTATTTAATACAGTTTCGTCACAAGTATTTTGTAATTGTCAAATTATGAGCTCCCAGTTGGGGTAATGCAAGTTGCAACTAATAAAACTTGCTACGATCAGGTGGCTGTGGAAAAGGCTTAGAGAGACCCTTGCGTGTGACAGGAAAGACATCCTTAGTCGAGATTTTTTTAAATTTTTTTTAAAGGTGTTACTCATCACTGATGGGCTGTCCTCTGCAATGCCGGTGCGTTGGGGAGTTCTGGTGGAGTCAATAAAGATGACTTCAGACAGCACCAAGCATGGAGAAGGGCCAGTAGAGCAAAGGTTGATTTAACACAGGATCTCTCTGTAAGTACATTAGTCAGAAAAACAGACTCGGAGAAAAGAGTTAAGGCTAAGCAGAACCCTCCTCTTGACAGCAGCTGGTCATAATGCTGGCAGCTTGGTTTCAGAAAGTTGGAACGGTTTGGCAATGAAACATTCTTTTAAGATGTTGCTGTTGTGCTGCAATTATTCTTCACCAACTACTCTACCCCCCTCCCGTTCTCCTAACTCATTGAACATATGGAAGAAAGCGTTCTTCTTTACTGAAGAATTCCTTCTTTACTGAAAGAGAGGTCAGGAACAGGCTGCCCAGGGAAGCGGTGGAGTCACCATCCCTGGAGGTGTTCAAGGAATGTGCAGACATGGCACTCGCAGACGTGGTCTAGTGGGTAAGGTAGCGTTGGGTTGATGGTTGGACCAGATGATCTTATAGGTCTTTTCCAACCTTGGTGATTCTGCAATTCCTCTTGCAGCCTACCTAAGACCAAAAATCCTTGTTATTTCAGCCTATAGGAAATCTATGTTGCCAATATAACTAATGCCTGCTGCTAGACTTGTTACGCTTCGGCTGCAACTTTTCCATTTGACGGAGCTAAGGCAGAGGCTGTGGACCAGCTGGCGGCTGAACCCGTGGAGTTGGATGGAACAGCCCATCCCAGGCACGATGGCTCTTCGGACGGGAGCCGCGGGACCTTCTATCGCGTCAAGTAACAAGCAAGACCTATTTAGGAGGCGGGAAAGGCAGGTTCTTGGCTCCGGCGCTGCTCTGCCAGCTGAGGCAAGTCGTTTCCTGGCGTTCCTGGCCTGGCAGCGTGGGAATACTACGGCTTGCCGCCCCGGGAGGGAGGGGAAGGGCTGCGGCAGGCGAGCGCTACGGGAAGGGACACCGAGGGCCGCGGGCTGGGGCTCGGCTCCGAGCTGCCGGCGGTAGCGATCCCCGGGGCGGAGGGGGAGAGGCC